TCTCTCTCTCTCTCTCTCTCTCTCTCTCTCACACACACACACACACACACAGAGGCTCTGTCTCTGGTATCACACGCACACAGACAGACAGACAGACACACACACAGAGGCTCTGTCTCTGGTATCACACACACACAGACAGAGGCTCTGTCTCTGGTATCACATGCACACAGACAGATAGACAGACAGACAGACACACACAGAGGCTCTGTCTCTGGTATCATACACACACACACACACACACACACACATACACACACAGAGGCTCTGTCTCTGGTATCCCACGCACACAGACAGACAAACAGACACACACACACACACACACACACACACACAGAGGCTCTGTCTCTGGTATCACACGCACACAGACAGACAAACAGACAGACACACACACACACACACACACACACACACAGAGGCTCTGTCTCCGGTATCACACACAGACCACCACAGACTCACCTAGCATGATGGCATCCACTGCTCCCCCCGGACAGAACTCGATCAAGATCTGCAGAGAACAAAGCGGTTACAGCAAGGCAGACCCTGTCCTGGTGGGAAGATCCAGACCCCAGACCATGGTGCCCTGCCGCCTGGCCCTCCTGCCCAGGCCTGCTCCATCTGCCATACATCCCTCAGCCACCACAGGATGCTCCTAGCAACAGGGACGCGCCCTGCAGCCTTCACTTTTCAGAAAAAGAAAAACCAAGTTACCAGAGAGAGCCCAAACTCCAGCACAGCCTCTCTGGCCGGTCCACACCCTGGACCTCCGGATGGTCCAGCCAGAGCCACCATCCTCGGCTGGTCCCCCGTGCTCCAACCACAGCCAAGAGGCTCTAAGCACGCTGTCCCCACCCAGGACCTCCAAGCCCGACACCTGGCTTTCCCCCTCCAAAGCCCAGCAGATACCAAGTAGGAGCCTGAGAGCACTGGGTCAAGTAGGAAAACTGATGTAGTGGAAGGTCCTAGTTTGGAAAGCACATTTTCTTTTTTTTTTTAATTTAATTTAATTTGTGAACATACTGTACAGAGGGGTTACAATTGCATGGGCAGGATAATGCCTCCATTTCTTACCAAGCATTGCAGCCTCCTCCTTTGTTTACCCTTCACATCCCTTCCCAGCCTCCCCCCTCCCCCCCAATCCCAATCCTTCTCCTTCCCCCTCCCTCTTCCCCCCCCCCACACCGACGTTGTAAAGCTCGTTTTGGACATGACAACTTGTACTTCTCATTGTTGCAACAGGTCCACCTGTATCCTTAAACAACTGGTTTTTCCCCATCTCCTCCACAAGTTATACTGACATCAAATATAGTGAAAGCAGGGGTTATACTGTGGGGGAGGGACATACAAAGCAACAAAGAGATAATCTTATAAATGCGTTAGAAACACATGTATGAAAGAAAAAACATTAAAATACATATCTAAGGGTTCATTTTCCTGACATCACATTATCTGACCTTTTCCACTTGACTCATAATATACTAGATATTGCAAATAAGGGAAACTATGGGACCTATGTTTCTTTGGGCCTGGCTTACTTCACTTAATATAATTTTTTCCAAGTTTTTCCATTTCCTAACAAATGGGGCAATGTCATTCTTTCTGATGGAGGCATAGAATTCCATTGTGTATATATACCACATTTTCTTGATCCATTCATCTACTGAGGGGCATCTGGGTTGGTTCCATATCTTAGCTATGGTAAATAATGCTGCAATAAACATAGTTGTGGTGGTAGCTTTAGTGTGGTCTTGTTTGTAAGCATTTGGGTAAATGCCCAAAAGTGGGATTGCTGGGTCATAGGGGAGTTCTATGTGGAGTCTTTTGAGGAACCTCCATACTGGGAAAGCACATTTTCTAACCCCAGCCACAAACTCACCCATCCATCCATCCACTCATCCATCCAACTCATCCATCCATCCATTCATCCATCCATCCATCAATCCACTTATCCATCCATTCATTCACCATCCATCCACTCAAACATCCATCCACTCATCCATCCATCCACTCATCCATCCAACTCACCCATCCATCCATTCATCCATCCATCCACTCATCTATCCATCCACTCATCCAACTCATCCATCCATCCATTCATCCATCCATCCATCCATCCATCTATCCATCGATACACTCATCCATCCATCCATTCACCATCCATCCATGTTTCTATTTATTCACCCCTTTATCCATCTGTCCATCTACCTATCCATCCATTTCTCCATCCATTCATCCATTCATTATTTATCCAGGATCCTCACCCTTGGGTGAGCACTCGTTTGCTTTCTAAGACTGCATGAAAGCTGTCCTCTTTTCTTGCCAGAAAAATAAAAATAGGAGCTGAGATCTGTGTGCAGTTCCTGGACCTGAAGCACCGGCACAAGCCCGGTTGGCAGCCTCAGCCTGCCCCCCACCCCCCGACTGCCAGAACAACCTCAGCCAACCCCCAATCCTCTCCATGACATGGGCTCCACCGTAACCAACCTCGAGCATTTCCAGCAAGGGTGGGAAGGAGAAGTGCTTGGAGCTCAACAGACTCGCTCGGAGGCACGGTGGGGCAGAACCCAGCCAGACAGTTCCCCTTCTCTAACAAGGGTTCCTCACCAAGGAAAAGGTACCCGGCTGGCACTGTGGCTTTCGTGATGCCACTGCCTTGGATACGTCTCCGTGAGTCTTGGTTTCCTGATCTGTACGACGGCACCAAGAATCTCAGTCTCCAACGTGGCCAAAGCAGTTCAGTGGGATCCCCAGCATTAAGCCCAGCAGCAGGCCGCACCCTGGCCTGTGAGGGTCAGCGCACCACCTTGTCAGAGCACAGCACACCCATGCCACACCACACAGACTAAGTGCACTTCACCACAGCTGTCACTGATCAACATCTGTTACCAAGAGGCAGGTAAGCGGCCTCCCGGGCAGCCAGATGCCGTCCTGGTCGGCACCCTTCCACACGCAGAGAGCCCAACAACGGCGTGCTTCCTCCTCTGCATTCCCAGGTCCTGGCTCCTGTTTTCTCCTTTTGCCCTGGCGGACAGGAAGCGCTGAGTAAAGTGAGCTGCTTTGCCCTGGTTCAATTCTCATTTCCTAGCTGCCCCTTTAGGCTTATAGCTTTGACCCTTAGCCGCCAGCGGCTTAGGCCTTGTGCTACATATTACGTGGGGCTTTCACAGCAGTATACAGGGTTTATTAAAAACCTAAATCTCAGTATTAAGAAGGGACGCAACTGAGCAGTTGTTAGTCAAATGCCTGAAATCCTTGGTGCTCAGGAAGCTGAGATTCAAAGCCAGCCTGGGCAGAAAAGCCTTTTGAGACTCCATCTCTAATTAATCAGCACAAAAGCTCAGTGCTTATGTTCTGAGTTCAAGCCTAGACCAGCACAATGTGTGTGTGTGTGTGTGTGTGTGTGTGTGTGCGCGCGCGTGCGCTAAACATGTAAACTATCTTTTCCTACACAATAAACGGCTACAAACATAGCATACGAGGCTGGGTGTGAGCACACTCCTGCGAGGCTGGTGTGAGCACACTCCTGCGAGGCTGGGTGTGAGCACACTCCTGCGAGGCTGGGGGGTGTGAGCACACGCCTGCAAGGCTGGGGGGTGTGAGCACACTCCTGCGAGGCTGGGGGGTGTGAGCACACTCCTGCGAGGCTGGGGGGTGTGAGCACACTCCTGCAAGGCTGGGGGGTGTGAGCACACTCCTGTGAGGCTGGTGTGAGCACACTCCTGCGAGGCTGGGGGTGTGAGCACACTCCTGCGAGGCTGGGGGGTGTGAGCACACTCCTGCGAGGCTGGGGGTTGTGAGCACACTCCTGTGAGGCTGGGTGTGAGCACACTCCTGCGAGGCTGGGGGGTGTGAGCACACTCCTGTGAGGCTGGGTGTGAGCACACTCCTGTGAGGCTGGGGGTGTGAGCACACTCCTGTGAGGCTGGGGGTGTGAGCACACTCCTGCGAGGCTGGTGTGAGCTCACTCCTGTGAGGCTGGGGGGTGTGAGCACACTCCTGCGAGGCTGGGGGGTGTGAGCACACTCCTGCGAGGCTGGGTGTGAGCTCAAGGCCACGTCACCCCTCAGGAAATGCCAGGACCCGTGTGGGAGCGAGTGGCGCCAAGCCTGAGGTTGGAGCAGACCCTGGCCACCGCGCAGGCTCAGCGTTGTGCGACAAGCCCTCCCAGAGGAGCGGCGGTGCACCGCTGGACGGCCTCCACTCCCCGCAGCGGGCTCCACCCGGACGGGCTGGCGGTGCCCGTCCCAGGGCCACGGCCTCGAGGAGGTCAGGCCAGGCTCGCCAGCCCCTCAGACCAAGCAGACATGGGGCCGCGGGGTGACGCGGCAAACTACTGAAAGGTGGTGGCCAGAGGTGACCGACGGCGGCAGACAGGCCCGGAAGCCAGGGGAGCGGGAGGCAGGGCTGGCAGGCCGGAGTCGGCCCAGGCAGGGCCTGCGGTCAGCACACGGGCACCCCCATGGATGGGGAACAAAGGCTTCATCTCGGGGCCAACATGCCTAGGTTCCAGGGCTGACAGGCCAACCTCTGCTGCTTCAGTGACCCAGCCTCAGCCTGCTCCTCTGTACCCCAGGGAACCCGTGGGGCCTGCCCCTCACCGGACACTGACAGCGGGCACTCAGCACTTGGGGACGCCATCACAGCCATCAGGCCCACCGGGACGCGTGGCGTGCAGGACGCTCGCATGCCTGGCCCCCGCCCTCCCGAGCCCCGCAGGACACGGGTACTGGCCATTCCTCAGCTCCAGGGTGACCCACAGACACGCAGGACGCTGGTGTCCGAGGTAACCCTTCACGCCGGTGCCACAGCACCCAGGGCACCTGGCAAACACCGCGAGCAGTGGGGGGGGGACGGATGAGAGACCACGCGGGTCGCTGCGTGGCGGAGCCCAGTGAGACCTGTGGAATCAATGTGTGGGCTTGACCACTGGGGGAGGTGGAGAACAAACCCTTCGCCTGGCCGCTCAAACTCAGCCCTTCTACCCCAAGGAGGTCAGCGCCTGTCTCCTTCTCCAGGGACAGCCCAACCAACCACCCGACGACCGCCTGGCCAAGCGTCCACACGCCCTTCCGCAGCTCAGCCCCTCGGCCCCTCAGTCCCAGGGCTCCTGGCAGCGAAGATCCTCCTCACAGGAGGACAAAGATACAGGCAGGGCTGTGGGTCAGCCCTGGATAAGAATGTATCAGCTGAAAGTGACAACTTGGGGACAGAAAGGCCCATGACAAGTCATAATGCCGCCAAGAATTGTCCTTTCTCTGTTTTTCCAGCTCAGCCACTTTCTAGCTGTGTGACCGGGAGGCAACTCACTTGGACTCTTTGTTTCTCATTTCCCTCTGTAAGACCAGACAGTGCAACAAGGCCAAGGTAAACGGTGCACTGCCAAGGACACAGGGCTGAGCCCTCAGTAAACGCGAGCTATCGCAGTGTTGTCTTTGGATCTGGGAAAGGACTGGATTTGGGACTCCGCCTCAACCAGTCAAGGAAACAGACACATCTCAAGAGTTTTTCTTCAGTGTGCAATGAGTGTGGGTGGAGAGATGGAGAGACGGAGGCGAGCCAGTGGGAGATCTCCCTCAGTCTGCATCCAGCGCGACTGTAGGCCAGTGTGGAAATCAACCCTGAAGCACCTTAAAAATCCTGGTAGAGAGGGTCCCAGGAATTGGAAGTGTGCCAGACTTACACAAAAAAGCCAAGGTAGCATAAGGACCTAAGTTCACGCCCCAGTGCCAGTGCCAGAAAAAAAAAGGTTACCAGACAAGCACTCAGAGAAGTTCATCCCAGAGCTGCTCACAAAAGCAAAGACGAAATTAGAAGTGGCCTAAAGACCTAACCACAGAGCGGGGCACCGTCAGCAGGAGGCCTGGGGTGGGGGGGGAGTAAACAACCAACACCGTTTTTGCACTGGCTACGTTCAAGTTCGGACCTTGCTTTGTGCTGGATGGCCTGAGCCGCGTCCTCCCCTGTGCTGGGTGAAGGCCTGGGCGCTGCACCCACCACCAGGCCCAGTTCCGACCCTCTCTCTCCTGCCTTCCTGTATGTTCTCATTTTTCTCTGGTGATCACGTACATAATACTTGCCTAAGAAGGGAAAGTTTACTAATAAGGAGCTCTTGCAATTAGGACACAGGAAATGGCCTGGGCTTTGTCAGTCTTGACTTTGGCCATGAGCAAGGAGCTTGCCTTCTCTGCGCCCCTGTTCCCTCCCCTGCCCCCTCCACGCCAGGATCCCTGGAGACACGGGGAAGCACGGGCTGTGAAATCCTAAGCCTTTTTCTCCCACCACATCTGAGTGGCATCCTTGGGAAGGGGGCTGGTGGTGGGCCTGGCAGGGGCGGTGAGGGCTATGCTCCGGTTTGAGTAGGACCCCCAGAGGCTCACGTGCTGGAGCCTGTCCTCAGTATGGCAGTGTGAGAAGGGGGTGGAACATTCAAGCGGCAGCAAGTAGCTCTGGGGGGGGGTGGGGATCAATACATTTGTCCTGAGGCCGTCCACCACTCCTGGGCCTCATTCTGTAATGTGAAGCCCTGGTGGTGTCTTAGGATGAGAGGTCATCATGACAGACAAGCCATTCCAGGTACCATGGCCTTGAATCTCCAGAACTAAACCTCTTTTCTTTATAAAGAGTTCCTTACAGCAATAGAAAAGGGACTAATTCCAACCAGAAGGGTAAGGCTTGTGCCCGCTGTTGTGGGCACTCTGGTGCTGGGCTTGTTTTGTCATCTGTGAGATGAGAAGGAGAAGGCATGTAAATTCTCCTGGGGCTTTCCCCACCCACAGGCTTTACTATTTCTTTTCAAATGAAACAGATTCCTCCAGTTAACACAGTAGTTCTGTTCCTTAAAATCAGGCGTTCTGTGCCATACAAAGCCAGAATTCCATTTCCTATTAAACGGAAAAAAATTATAAAACGTTATTCACCATCAGGCTCTCTGCTGGTTTCCTGGAATAGCGTAAACGCGGAGGAGCTCTCCCAGGGCGGCAGGTAAACAATCCTGAGCCCCAAGGTTACAACGGCTGCAGGGCCCTGGCTGCGCACCCAGCAGCCTGCTCTCCCACCAGCTGGCCTCTCTGCTTGCCTCTCAAGTCGTCCACATCCAATTCGGATGCTCTTCTGGCTGCATCTAGAACTTACGTGAAACACCCTGTCAACACTGCACCCCTTCCCGGCAGCAGCACTGCGGAGGTGGACGAGATCGGGGGCTGCACCTTTCCCTGCAGCAGTGCTGGCCTCCGGGC